ATGTATAAATTGTTTATAAAATATAAAATATCATTCATATGAGCTGTTTATTTTGAAAGTGGCATAAATCATTTTCTACTTATTGGCATAAATGGTTGGTTACTTCTAACTGAATGCATATGTAAACCGTTCTAACGCCATAAAAGAATGACACAACTTTTTACCGTCGACTGATGAACTAGCACGAATAACACGAAGTCAGACGACTTATATTGGCCCCAAGGCGAATGCATATAAGGTGGTATCGATTGAACAAATACAACAATTACTTGTATTTTGTTTTTGCTTTTAGCGGGCCGTTGTCAAATTTCAGCTATTCTTCCCCGAATGAAAAAGGGCGACAGAAAATGCAAACACTCTCACGTTTTCACTCACTCACTAACGAAATTCAAAATTTTGACAATGAAGCGCTACTCACAGCTGATGAAACAACACCACCTTATATAAATTTGCCTTGATTGGCCCCACTTAACTTGTTAAATGAAAAAGAGCGTTTTAGGAAACACAATCGTCCACATTGAACATTTGGAGTTAACTATGACGGTTGTTTGACTAAAAAAAAATATTCAAAATCAAGTTTTTGTGTTTCAATTTGTTTTGTGCGAATGTCTGCTTCATGATATTAACGCATACGTATTAATTAGAGACTTCAAAATGTTTAGTTCGTATGCACTATTTATCTCTGCGTACGGTGAGACCTCATGGGAAATAACTAATTACCGCCTTGGCCTCTTTTTTTTTGGCGAGCAGACATGCATACAATTTTGATATTTTTTGATAATTTTGAATTTTTAATATTTTTCAGAATATAAATTTTTTGAATGTTGGCATGTCAAATGAAAGCTTTTGGGTCTATCTGATTGGCCGGAGCAGAAAGCTTTCCGATACAACTCTGCATTGAATTGGTTTTCAAACGAGTTAAATAATTTAACTGGTTAAATTTTCCAACAACAATTGCATGCCATTTAACTTGTTTATGAACATGTTTTGTTCATTTAACTGGTTCAAGCCCATTTAACATGTTTAGCTCGTCAATTTCAACGTAGTATTACGCCATTTTCAAAATAAACGGTTGCTGTGTTCATATTCATACATACATATTTATGTACACAAAAATTCATAAGTATATATTCATACGTATGGATGTACGTAGTACGTGTGCTTGTATGTAAATTAGGGCGGGTCGAAAATCTTATTTTTCTCAAGTCCCTTGTATCATGAAGTCAACAACAAGCCTGCAAAATATTAGTATTTTATTTTAATTGTAAGATCCCGCGCATCGACCGCCAAGTGACCCACAGCACACTAGCCGAATAAGACCAATTCTTGTTAAAAATTCTGGGTTCAGGAAAAATGTTTGGTGCATGTTATTAGATAATGAATCCGTTAACGCAAAAGATAAAGTCAAATATCATTTCTCGCAGCCCTTCAGCTTATCGTTAATCTCAAACTTATCTGTTGTATCTGTGTTGTCATGTACAAGCATAGGGTGAAGACGTGTTTTTGAAAGTGTCCTGTGAAAAGTTGAAAATAGCCTGGTTTTGGGCCCTAAAAAAGGTAAAACTGCGCAAGTTTATCACAAAGCGCTGCGACTGCACTTTGAAGCAGTAAGATCGCACTTACCTTCGCAACTAGGGTTCGAACGATACTATCGATATTGAGTAAGCATCGATACTGAGGGTATAAAAATGAGTATTTTAATACTCGATACCTTATTTGGCGATTTTACTCGGTACTTTGCAAAGTACTCGTAGTATCGAAAACTTTTTAAAAAACACACTTTAAATTTTTTCTTCCAGTGGCAACCCAATTTTATTTGCTTATATGGAGTACTATCATAAAAATCATCACTTAAAATAAACAGAAATTTCATGTAGTCTGTTGCATAACATAAACAAAATAAGTTAAAGTTTAATGGCCTTATTCATAAAAAATAAAGTAGGTTTAAAAAGCTTAATAAAATTACGTTTTCTTACTTATTTCATTTATTTTTTATGAATAAGGCCATAAAGGTTTACGCATAGTTCACGAAAATGCAGAATTTTCATAAAAATTTTGGGTATGCAGTTTTGTAACCTACTAAACTTTACGTGTAGGCTAGTACCGTTGACTTATAATTCGAACTTGCACATTATTATTCTAAAATTGAATAGGCTACAAAAATGCATACCCAAAAAGTTTACAAAAATTCGTAATAAAATTTGAAATTCGTGAGAGTATATATGTACATATGTAAGTATGTATGTACATTTAACGTTAAAATTAGTTCTAACGTGAAAGGAAGTTCTGCAATGAAATGAAAATCAAATGTTTTCAATTTCTATTGTTTTAATTTCAGGAAATAACTAGATATACGATTGAAGAATAAAATAATTTTAGTATCCCAAACAACGTATTTCAATGAGTCCGATACTGAGTAGTATCGATACTTTTTACCTGATACTTTTACAGTATCGGTACCGTAAGCTCGATGCCTGAATGAGTACTCAGTATCGATACCAAAGTCTGAAATTTCGAACCCTATTCGCAACTAATCACGCAAAAGGCAAAAGTAAATACGCTTTGCTTAATTTTTCCACAAAAAACTTTATAAGGAGAGTGATAAAATAAAAAGGCGCGAAATTCCGGTGAGAAGAGAGCCGTATCTGAGCTACCGTTTTTCCCAATTGAGTGCAAAAATAAAATCATATTGTGTTGTGCGGTTTCGGTGATTATGCAGAAGAAACAACAACATGCCTAATGAGTCTCCGACTGCAGACCCGAACGAAGTGCACAACCCGTTCAAGAGGAGTGCAAAACTATCGCGCTCTCCGGTGAGAAAGCACTACGCTCTGCTAGAAGGCGAGAATGGGCGTATGATGGAGAGGAGGGAGGATGCACTCACACTACTAGGCGAGAAGATCCGTGAGCTTATCAACATGCATGATTCAATGGGCGCATTTCTAAGACGTAGCTGTTGCTAAACTGTTGAATGTTTGGCTTAGAAACGCACAGTTGAGTAGTTTCGCTCAGCTCAACAGTTGACAACTTTCCGCCATTTTCTCAAGCAGAAAATTTTTACGCTACCTGAACTTAACGTGTTGGGCTTAGCCTAAACAGCTGATCGTAAAGACTTCCGCCGCTTGTATTAAATTTAATGCCACTTTGTTAGGTGGCAGTTGCAAACAAATTTATTCTATTTTATATTACTGACGTGATAAAGTAACTAAAATATTTTATACTGATACCACGTTTCTAAATGTATGTTCTTAAGATGTTTGCTATATAATTATACACTGTTTAATTCATTATAACATTGAACGATTTTTTCAACACGGCGGCAGCTCAGCGTTGAATTTTAAATAATATTACATTTATCAACTGGTCATATGACAGCATATTCATCAAGCCGTTTCTAAGACGTAATTGTTGGGTCCAACAGTTGCCAGCAGTTTCGTAGCAGTTGAGCTAAACAGCTACGTCTTATGAACGCGCCCAATAATACAAGCTTAGATAATTATTGACAGCCGCGGTTGCATTTACGATGGACAGAGAAAGGAGAAGAGAGCATTCCTTGTTGCGAAAATGGTAGTAGATAAGTACGCAAAGTAGGCAATTAGTGGTGAAATTCCTTTTGTAAATTCTAATGTATCTGCGGGAAATCTGGCATTTTAAACGAAATATTAAACGAAATAGTAATATATCTACGTGAATTATGTAATTTATGTGCTATTTAGCTATATACAAACTGCAAAAGGACTCAAAATTAAATTAAAACTACTATAAGATTTATGTAAACATCCAATTTAAAAACAATTTATGTTTTCATCAGTTAAATGTGCTTCATATGCATATACAAATAAACATATTGCACAAAAGCTTATACTTCTATTTCACAGCAAAGCTACACTTTTGCCAAGTAAATTTGCAAAGAAGCAACACGGTGCCACTGCTAAGGGAGCGGTGCGAGAGAGACAACTGCCAGTTTATCAAACCTTGTATCATTGAATCATGATCAACATGATTGAAGCTCAGAGCCGGGTCAACATACCCATGAAAGAGCTTGCCAATGTTATACAAGAGCAACATGAAAGAGCTTTGGCTGAGCGTAAGATGAATACGCATGCATCGTCCGAAACAAAAGCAACGCAGACAGAAGAAGAGTTAAGGGCCATTCACATACAACTTTCCTCGCTTTACTTGACAGCTCAAACTTTGACAACAAAGCGTGAAACGCAGAAGGTATGCTACAATAAACGCTTTGACAGATTTTGCGTTCTTCTTTTCCTCCATATATTTTCTCTGTAAAATAGATAACAATATAATAATATGCATTAATAATAGCAATAAAAATTCCTATTTACCCTATTTTTGTCATTAAATGCAAATGCAAGTGCACGAGAAAAGATACATAGAGACAGCTGATTGCCAAAGCGGGCAAAAATTGAGAGTTGCCCAAGATTTTGCTTCGCTTTGCTTTGCTTTGCTTCAAACGTTTTTTATGTGAGCATACTCATGCATATGCCTACATCGATCCTATATGTCAAAGTAAATAACTATCAAGCAAAGCGAAGAAAGTTGTATGTAAATCAGCCCTTAGGCGTCCGCAAATTTCGCAGAAAGAGGGTACGGGGCGGCGCAGATAAAGTGGTAAACTTACCTAATTCGCCGCAACTAATGCCCAAACGCAGCCGTGTTACATCTACATCTCCAAAAAAACGAATTGGTCGGACGCTACAACAACAACCACTGCAGATTAACAAGGAGGGAATAACAAAAAAAATCACGGAAGGGCACCGCCTACAGATCAAAGCGCGGCAAGAGGCCCAGCATCCAGCCAATCGGAGGAGCAGTGGACTGAAGTAAAGATGCGTGAAGCTAAAGCTTAGACTAAGCCAATCAAGCCGGATGCGATCACAGTAAAGAAGGCTGGTGAATAATCGTATGCCGACATATTAAAGAAAATAAAGTCGCAACCTGAACTGAAAGAACTTAGTGCTAATGTCAAGAACATCCGAAAGATGGCCAAAAATGAGTTGCTCTTTGAGCTGAAAAAACAAGACGACCCTGCTACCCAGAAATTTAAAACTGCAGTTGAGCATATACTTGGGGAAAGCGCCCATGTACGCTCGCTTACTCAAGAGTCTATTCTAGAGGTGAAGGATATAGATGAGGTAACGACGAAAGACGAGGTATTCGAAGCACTGATCGAATGCCTTGGTGGAACTAATCTTGAACCAACGGTAATCCGCTCAATGCGCGCTGCCTATGGGGATATGCAAATATGCACCCTTAGCCTGCCCTCAGTGATTGCCCGAGAGCTAGTAGGAAAAGCCAAAATACGCATAGGCTGGGTCAATAGCCGAATAAGGTCTAAAGAAGTTCTGGTGAGATGCTACAGGTGTCATGATTATGGGCGCATGTCTAGAAACTGTAAGAGCGCAGAGGACCGATCCGCATTATGTTTTAGATGCGGAGGAAAGGATCACAAGGCTAGAGACTGTACAAATTCACCATCTTGTTTCCCCTGTGCCAAAGCTGGTGAAAGTAGTACAAGACACGCGACCGGTAGTCGTGTGTGCGCCGTCTTCCAAAGAGCAAGAGGAAAACAACAGCACCAATGAAATTTCTGCAGTTGAACCTTAATCACTGTCAAGCGGCGCAAGATCTGCTCAACCAAACCGTATACGAACTTGGTATCGATATTGCGATCCTTAGCGAACAATATAAGAATAAAAGCGAAGCGTCTTGGGCTAGCAACACAACCAGTAGGTGTGCGATATGGAGCTGTGGAGCTCCCCCTAAGCACCTTGTCCCAATCGCATCCACAAACGGCTATGTATGCGGTAAAATAGACAACATTTATGTTTATAGCTGCTACATACCACCCAGTGCGGACTTAGAATGTTTCACCACCGTCGTTGATCAGTTAGTCAACGACGCTAAGATGAGGAGTGCAGTGCTTATAGCAGGCGATTTTAATGCATGGGCGGTAGAATGTGGAAGCCGAAGGACTAATTCGAAAGGAAGAGAGCTTCTCAGCTCACTGGCAGCCCTAAATGTCATACTTCTGACAAGCGGAAATGGAAATACTTTCTCCAGGAACGCGACAGGATCAGTCATCGACCTGTCCTTTATAAGAGGAGGACTAAGCAGAACAACAAACTGGTACATAAGCAATGCTTACACGCAAAGCGATCACAAACCCATAATCATAAGCGTTGAAAAACAGAGCCGCAACAACACCGCTGCAAGTCACTGCCACGGGTGGAAAACAAAAAGCTTCGACGAAGAGCTGTTCGAAATAGTCTCCAGTGAAGTAAAAATAACCTCCAGCGTCGAGAAAGCGCCGAAAGAACTGATGAAAGCACTCAAAAATGCATGCGATATTTCGATGGCGAGAAGGAAACGACACAATACACGCAAACCCGCTTATTGGTGGAATGATGAAATTGGCATTCTGCGAGTACAATGCAACCGGGCCAGAAGAGTGTGTCAGCGTGTTCGCGCACGCAACGAAGCAAATGCGTTGAGCCTAGGCTGGTCTATAAAGAAAAGCGAAAGCTCTTAAAAAAACGCAATACGTGAGAGCAAGCGCAAAATTTTTAGCGATCTGTGTGAAGATACTAGCAATAACACGTGGGGACTCGCCAACAGGATAGTCATGAAAAAGCTTAAACGCACAACACAACCAACATGCCCTTTTTGCTGGCTTAAATCGTACAGGTCCTCTTTCCGGCCCGATTTCGTAAGGCCAACGCCCCGTGCTTTCACTGCTATCCCTTGCATAACCATTGAGGAGATCCTGAGAGCTGGCAGAAACACCCCTCTCAACAAAGCTCCAGGGCCCGATGGGATCCCGAATATAGCCCTAAAAAAGGCCATTGAGACAAAGCGGTGCGCATTTTCTAGCGCTTTCAATAGTTCCTTCAAGAGGGCATATTCCCACACATCTGGAAACTGCAGCAACTGGTCCTTATACCGAAAAAATCAAATCCGTCGGCACCTTCTGATTACAGGCCACTGTATATGCTCGACTCCACGGGGAAGCTATTCGAGCAGATAATTAAAAACCGCTAAGAAATTCATGTAGATAGACATCTATCAGAAAACCAGTTTGGCTTTAGAAAAAAGCGCTCTGCGACTGATGCGATCGAACTGGCAAATTCCATAGCGGAAAAAGCGATTGAAGGCAACCGTTGGCTAGGAGGCACAAAAGAATACTGCCTGGTTGTTACGCTAGACGTAAAACATGCATTTAATAGTGCTTCTTGGAAGGAAATTCTTCACGCATTACGAGCCTTAGAGGTCCCATTATACCTGCATGCCATTCTGGGGAGCTACCTCAGTAACCGTACTCTCAGATACAGTAGTGACAATGGGCTTAAGGATTATGCACTCACGGCCGGAGTACCACAGGGATCGGTGCTTGGACGTTTACTGTGGAACATCATGTATGATGGAATCCTACGCCTATCCANCCAGTGAAGTAAAAATAACCTCCAGCGTCGAGAAAGCGCCGAAAGAACTGATGAAAGCACTCAAAAATGCATGCGATATTTCGATGGCGAGAAGGAAACGACACAATACACGCAAACCCGCTTATTGGTGGAATGATGAAATTGGCANCCTATCCACCCCAGATGGCGCCACCTCGGTTGGATTTGCAGACGATGTCTCAATCGTGGTCACCGGGAAAACACTAGCAGAAGTAGTGGCGATTGCGGAAAAGTCAATCAGTGCGGCACAAGAATGGCTATGTGCGAGATCCCTCACACTTGCAACGCAAAAAACAGAAGCAGATCTTATAAGCAGCCGAAAAAAAAGTGGAAGGTGTAACTGTCGGAGGGAGTGTAATCTCATCAAAGCCCTACGTAAAATACCCCCGGGTATTGATAGATCATCATTTATCCTTCCGAGATCAGCTCAACTACGTCAACGAGAAGGCGGCGGGGTTGACGTCATCTTTGTCCAGACTGATGGCAAACATTGGGGGACCTAAGCAGCAGTCTAGACTAGTACTAGCAGGGGTAGTTAGATCCATACTCATGTACGGAAGTACAATCTGGTACGACGCATTTAAACGCTCATCGTACGTTCAGGGTATAAACGCAACTTATCTCTTATGCGCATTAAGAGTATGCTCTGCATACAGAACAGTTTCGGAAGACGCAGCCCTTATCATCTCCGGGATGCCCTCACTTGACCTATTGGCGCAGGAAGCAGTTGAAAAATGAAAGGATAAGAACGAGGAAGACGAAATTCGCACCTCTTTATTGCAACAAAACAGCATATCGCAATGGCAAGCGAGGTGGGGTTACGCAACAAAAGGCAGGTAGACACATCGTCTCATCTCTAATATCGATGTATGGATCCACAGACAGCACGGTGAGGTAGATTTTTCCTGGTGAAATAGAGGTGCGGAACACGTACTCTTTTCGTGTCCCCGATTCAGCAGCCAGAGAGAAAAGCTCAATGGACGTCTCGGCAGCGTAGTTACATCCGAAGGAATTTAGAGCCACTTGTGCCCTAGTTATGCAGCAACTTCGCAACAGCGAGCAAGTGAGGCGTAGGCAAGAACGACAGGCGAGGTAGGAAGCAGCCACATCATTCTATCTGGCTCAGGCCAGATAAAACGCCCATTTTCCTAGAAAGAAGAGAGCGAACCTCCCAAAAAATTGTATAAGCAGCAATAAATCGCTGCAACCGGACATTACTAGACTTAGAAACGCACTTCTTAGTTGTAAAATACCAAGGGGGTGGGTAAGTTTAATACCAAACCAAGACGAACTGTGGGTGGAATCATGTGAACAGTAACGGACGTAGAGCTTCGTGCGCAAACCGCCTCCCGACGAAATACTTAACGGTGACGCAGGGGGGATCGGTACATAGACGGTAGGAGGTTTAGTGGGTTAAAGTCTCACACTGACGGTTTTTTGTTTTTCAACCGAATTGTAATTGTTTTGTTGATAATTGCACTGGCCTATAGTCAAAAGATGTAAAAAACAGCATTAACATTGCTGGCGTGCATTTAGTTCGCTGGTCCAATATATTCTAATATTTTTTTTTAATATTAGATCCAGTTTGCGAATTTTTGCAAATTTAGTAATAATATCGGTATCTCTTATAGAAGAGCCATTACCTTCCATCATCGTGGAAAAATTTTGTTTACGAAAATGAGTACAGACATACTGAACAAGCACAACTTCTTAGAAACACTATTAGTTTACTTATGTTTATGCAACCATATATAAAAATTGCAAATATAGGAAAATGACAAAAAATTTGTTCAACATTTTTATACCCGCGCGCACTTGTGCACAAGGGTATATTAATTTTGTTCACATAACGGTGGTTTGTAACAGCCAAAACGAATCGAGATAGATATAGACAAATGTATACATAAATGCTTAGAATGAATAGAGAAATCGATTAAGCCATGTCTGTCTGTCCGTCCGTCCGTGTACACGATAACTCGAGCAAAAATTGAGATATCTCAACGAAATTTTTTATGTAGGTTTCCATTAATCCAAGGTAGGTTGGTATTGAAAATGGGCGAAATCGGACCGTAACCACGCCCACTTCCCATATAACGGTANACCGCTTTTCATTTTAATTTAAGGACGCTAATTTAAAAATTTATACATCCCGGCTTACCATGTAGCGGCAGCTTTCGGAGAGGTGAAAAACATATATTTAATACTTGCGCCGGGTATTTAATGTTCGGCTCCGCCCGAACTTAGACTTTCTTACTTGTTTTATTTTAAAATAATTTGTTTATAATTTGAACGATTTTCATCATATTAATCATGCCTATTACGGTATACGACGGATGCCATCCGCACGGATCTAGTCCGATTCGCACTGTCATAACAAGCGAGAGCGAAGCATTAGATTCGTGCGAATGGCATCCGTCGGATACCGTAATAGGCATTATTATCATAAACCAGTAACAGTAAGTCTCGCCTTCAATTTGGTAATTATTACGAACCGATCGAGTAACATTTACCAAAGTTATATCGAAAAAATGTCTATTCAATTGTATAAATAACTTTTAAATGAAAAAACCGGATAACGGAAAAGTGTGTCAGGGAGTGACTAAATGCAAAGCAATATCGTCCAACTGGAGAGTCCTCAAAAGGATTTCCCAGTATATGTTAAAGACTATTGCATTTACCTACTGTCACTTTTACACATAATGGAATTAACTAAATTATTTATGTATATCTAAACACTTAACGCACGTCCCCTACTTTCATATAAAGGCAAATTTAGAAACCGCGAAAAATATGCTTCTTCGGTGACTATGAAACCATTCCGCACCAATTTCAAGACTGCATAAATGGACTTAAAATGGGTGTTTCTAACCCTAATTGTATTATGTAAATGTATTTAAATACTTATAAGTTTGAAACTACTATTAACTTATCAAACGATTCCTAATCTTTGACAATACATGTTTGACTTCATTAACCACGATCTCGAAAACTGACCAAATCGGTGTGACCAAGTCAATGGTCCTTCTAATATTATATAAACATCCGAAAACATTAAAACGTTTGAAATAAATCTCGTGTCACGTTTTTGTATTTTGCACTTGGTTGCTGAAGTAATGAAGAATTGA